TCCTCTTATCAGCTTCTATAATAAAACCCAGATACTTGATACTCTTGACTTTAAAATCATACTTATTAATATCTATCAGTAGTTCTACTTCTTGTAGTCATTGTAATATCTTTCACACATACTCTTGATATTCTTTTCTGAATTTATTAGTAAAGATGAGAATATCATCTAGATAAGTAGATACAAACTTATTAAGAAAATCTCAGAGCACTCAGTTGATATACTTCTGAAATATACTGAGAATGTTAGTCAGTTCAAAGAGTGTGACTATTCATTCAAAGAGACTATAATATGTTTAAAATACTGTAAGTCATTCATCTTCTTCAGTGATATGAATCTTATGAAATGCAGCAACAATATCTAGTTTTATAAATCATTGAGCTTACTCAATCTGTGCTAGGGTTTCATTGATGAGAGATAAGAGATATTGATCTTTCTTTGTCAATCTGTTCAGATCTCAGTAATTCACACAGAATCAGAGTTCTTCATCTGATTTCTTTACAAAAAGAATAGAGGCTGCAGTAGAAGAGTTACTAATGTATATAAATTCTTTATTTAATAGATCATTGAGTGTCTTTTGAAGAAGAAGAAGTTCATCTCAGAACATGTTATAAAGAGAGTCTTATAATAGTTTAGAATTCTTATCATTCTTTTTCTCTAACTTGATACTGTGATTCACTTCAGAATCTTGTAAGAAGAATATATTTATAATATTATCTTATCAGAAGATATCTGAATATTCATAATATTATTGAGAGAGTTTTGTACAAGAATCTGTTATTATAATATTGAATAATTTTTCTAGAGCCTTTTTAATATCAGTCAGACTGATGAAATAGATTGATATATAATTCTGCTATCAGTGATTCTTTCAGTAACTTCTTTTTCTAAGCATTTCATAGATATTGACAGAGATCTGTGTCAGATCAATAGTCTTGTGAATATCATCTTTGTGAATTCTATCATTATTAGAGAATATCAAGCTTTTGTTTTAAGCATTTAATAAGATGTCTTATTCAGATAGTCAGGTAAGTTCTAATATAAGATTGTAATCATGATTATCAACTTCATATGCATAGACATCTTCATGTTAATATTCTCTCACATCTATGATCAGCTTCATCATGTAATAAGTACAAATGTCTTTTGAATCATCAAATTCTGTGAGAAGTCAAGGTTTTAATAAAGAAATACACTGAAGATTATAATATCTTACAACTGAAGATTTTATCATTATATAGTGACATAGATTACTATCTATTATGACTTTCATATTATACATGTTATCAATCACAGTAGATATAAGAATCATATTCATTGTTATCTTCTCTTTAAATCATTATTATCTGATCTCTTCAAGCTTCTGTTTACAAATTTGAACAGAAGCTAATCTTTTTTCTGTTTCATCAGAGCATTCTTATAGTTATCTTCTGAATCTTTCTCTAATGTAATGTAGTTGATGTGAACAGACACTGATTCATTCTTTAAATGAGAAGATGCTGATCTTTCTCTCAAGTATGAAGATATATAGATTAATTGATAGTTGAAAGCAATGTGTTCTGATCAGTTACAGTTAATACATACTTTATATTGATATCAATCAGTGACTTCTTTGAGAGTGATCTCAGAGACTCAGAAGTCTGTCTGAACAGCAGAGACTCTTGCTTATGTATAGATATTCAAGTCTATTCAATTCATAGCATCTGCATCATTATTATTTCTCAGTGTGAGTGTATCAGTTGCTGAGATATAATATGTTCTATCACTGTTCTATATATTCTTGAGCTTAGTAAGATGATCATTCATTGTTCAGAGCTGTGTGCAGAAGTCTTCATAAGTCTGATCTTCATCTGCACTTATAAGAGCTTGTAAGAGTTTGAAAGTTAATGTCTTCTTGAGTATACTAATCTTTATTCAATTCTTTCAAGATTGATCATCTGCTTCTAGAATCTTAGTGTTAAAGTCAGAGATGAATATTATAAGAGAAATATTTCTCTATTAGACACTCTGTAGTCAATCTAATACTTTCTGTTATATAGCAGTGTCTTAGAACAGAATATCAAGATATTTCATAATATTATCAGATGTTTATAACACTGATTCATATACTTTCATTCATGAATAAAACTTCTGTTTTATATAATCTTTTAATTATTCATTAATATACTAATCTTAATTGATTAATGAACTGATAACATCTTCATCTACACTTAGTTTCATGAGCATTTTCATTCTTCATGATGAGTAGAGAGTGAGATCAGAAGTATTAAAATATATAAAAGTATCTAAGCATTCTTTCAGTACTTTTGTATTCAATTCTGTAGATGTTGAAATTATGTGAGTTAGTTATTAAATCTCTTTGTATTGATGTTGTTGAGTTGCATGTATATCAGCTATTTATTATTATTGTAGTTTCAACATTACTCAGAGTCACTGTGACACTGCATCTATACTTATATTTGAGAGTTTCATATTATCATTAGACATGATTATATCAATTGTCAGATATATAATTATATTCTTATACATCTGAGTGTCAGAACTCTCAGGTCTTTCACTGATATTCTCTTATAAGATCTTATTCTCTTCATAAGATCTTGTTGTAAGATCAGAGTGACTGATAAGCAAGCTTCTATCTAAGAACTATCTGAGAACTCAGTGTTCACTTAACTGTTTGACTGTTTCTCTATTTCTTACACATTGTCATGTGTTTGAATATTTCTTGATGAATAATCATTTCTGATGAGAAGATAATGAACATTTTTATAGTGTAAGAGACCTACACTGAATAGATCAGTATAATATTATAGGTCTTATATAATAAAGATAAAAACATTAGAGAAGAAAAGAAAGAGAAAGTGCAAGAATCAGTGATCAAGATGAATATTTATACATGTATGTAGTGATGTACATGATGAAGCTTCAGAGCAGGAGAATATACGCGTGTTCATAGCAGCTGAGGATCAGTGATTGAGAATGGCTGAGAATCAGAGTGTATGTGTTTGAGAATGAAGTGATTGAAATCTGTGAAGTGTAATGAAATAGTCTATATAATTGATCGGGCGCAGCCCGTCACAATATTTAACTGTTACACTGATAATATATAATATTCTAATAATTTTATTAATAGAGATAAGAATAAAGTAAAAGTTCAACTTAAGTTGAAATATTTATTACTATTATCAGCAATAATTATAAGAAGAAATAATTAAGATACTTGTAATTATAAAATATAAAAGTATTATATAGTTTAATATCTCTGATTATAGTATATCAGAGAAGTGTAGTTTTTATAAGAAAATAAAGAATAAACTTATACAAGAATATATTTAGTTATTTTATAAGTATTATTAATAATTATTACTAAATTCTGATTATATAAGTAATTACTGAATAAACTGAATAAGATTAAATTTAATCTTCAGTCTCAGTCTTATTCTGATTTTAAAAGAATGATTATTTTTTACAGTTTATTCTAAGAAATTACTTTTATTTTACTATTCTTGAATTAAATCTAGTCATCTTTCACATCATTTCTCTCAGAAATAATTTATTTTCAGATTTTTTTAATACTTGATTCTGATGAGACTTATGTTAAGAAATGTATAAGATCAGATTAAATGAAACTAGACTGACTATATAACTATATCTGAGACTAGAATCAGATTTTTTAATAGTTTTATTATCAATTTAACTGATCTCATTACACAGTTTTAATATTAAATAGTAGTTTTATACTGTCTCAGTAAGACTTATTATCTACTCTTATTATATTTTTTAAATGAGATTATAATTTTCACTTCTTAATTTAAATTATTTTTATTACTTTAAATGACTTTAAATCTTATTTAAATATTATTAAAAAGTGTTACTTTTTAAAAAATTAAAAATAATCTAAAAAAACTCTTAAAATGTCTAAAAATAGTAACTTTGTATCAAGAATAAGATTAAATGAGATTAAATAAGACTACTTTCTCATTTTTTTCAAGTTATGGTTTCATTTTAAGATCTGATATATAGTTACTTTGTACGTTTTTTTAATGACTAGTCTCAGTGAGATTCATGTCAGGAAATGTATGAGATCAGATTAAATGAGATCAAATGTGAAATTCATGGTCTCAGCGGCCAGTCTAAATGAGATCAAATCCGGCCAGTCTAGATGAAGCTAGCTACAAAGAGCTTAATACCATATGAAAAGAACGTAGGGTTATTACACGACCGGATTATGGTTGTTCCATCATTTCAATCAGCGACACGGTCGCCGAGCTGTAAATCATAGTATAATGATGAATGAATGATGGAATCACTGTAAATAAGTAATAAACTGAAAAAATCAATTATTATATTAATGATGTCACTGAATTCAATCTATATAACTACTAATTCTAAAAATCATCTCATTTATCAGTATCATTCTCTATTGAAAATCACAGACACTTCTATCTAAATCCTCTCAAATTGACTGAATCAAGTTTCTTTCATAGTCTTCATTTCTAGTCATGTTGCTCTCATTGACCATATCACTGAACTTGTGAATTGAGGTTTGCAGATTACTCATGATCTGAGAGACACTGTCATCAGTTATCTGATATTTGAGAGTTGAGATTTCAGAGTGATCAGATGCTGAGTATTTGAAAGTCTATATAATTATTAATCTCTGAATAAATCTGGGAATCATTTCACTGACTCTAGCTTACTGTTTCAGTAATTGTTTCATAAGTTCAGAGACTCAGAACACTCATTGAAGTCAGAAGATTGAAGAAGAAGAGAGAGGAAGAATTGACAGTGATAATAGAGAGACTGATGAGAGTTGCAGAGAGAGAAAGAGAATTATCACTATTAACAGATTTCTTATCACTACTACTCTCATCAACTGTATTACTGAGAAGTTTGATAATTATTTCAAATCAGTTTATTATTTCATATATTTCAATGAAAATACACTGTGCTTTCTCTCTAACACTGTTGATCAAGTTTGTGAGATTCTTCATTATCACTTTTTAACTCTTATAATGATTGTTAATCAATCTCAAGATCTTCTGCTGAATAGTAAGCTTTGTATTTTCAATATTCAATTTTCTCTTTTCAATGATGATTTTCTTCTTCTTCACAGCAATTTTCTTCTTTTTAATCTTCAATTTGACTCTTTCAATATTCAACTTAATCTTCTCAATTTCAAGTTTGACTTTTTCAGTGAGACTGATAGACATATTTAAGGCTTTCAATGTGATAGCTATACTCTTCATTTTTTGATTTTCTGCTTCCTGCCAGTGTGTCTTTGCTTCCTTGATTTGCTTGAATAAATCCTTCACTGTCTTCAGCATGGCTGACTTGACTGATTTCTTCATAGCTGTTGAGATGACAAGATAAAACTCATGAGTTCAGACCAGGTTTTCAATTTCATTATTGAATTCATCAGAGTATATCATGCAATCTTTCTTTTCATAGTTACAGTTTGAACATGACTTTATACTTTCTTCAACTTTGTCACAAACAGATTCAATATACTTTCTTCAACTTTGTCACAAACAGATTCAATATAATGAGGAAAAATATATAAGATACAGTGCTTGCACATCATTGACTTGCTAGATTTGATGAGAGTATTCAGCCTGCTTGCTGCCTCTTTCTCTTGTGCTTTTACTGCTGCTGCATACATACACTTAAGAGTGTCTTCAGCCATTTTGATGTTATTGCTGCTGCTGTTGTTGCTGCTGTTGTTACTGCTGTTATTACTGCTATTGTTGCTGTTATTACTGCTGTTGTTGCTGCTGTTGTTGCTGCTGTTATTACTGCTGTTGTTGCTGCTGCTGCTGCTGCTGTTACTGCTGCTGCTGCTATTGCTGCTGCTGCTGTTGATATTACTGTTATTACTGTTACTGTTATTGCTGTTACTATTATTACTGTTGCTGTTATTGCTGTTACTGCTGCTGTTGAATGAAATAATAGATCACTGACATTCTTAGTATACTATGCACATTAGATATCTTGACATTAGAACTGTTGATATTCAAAGCTTTCTATTACAACTGGCAGAATACTAATCTTGCTGAAGATGAGAAGAGCTGAGTGAACTGAAAAAATCAATATTTGCATTGTGATATAATTGCAAGAAGAAGAAAGAAAGAAAGAAAGAAAGAAAGAAAGAAAAAGAAGATGATAAGTTATTCTTCTTATATATATTATTAATTCATCTTTGCAGGTTATTATACAATGAATGCAAATACTTTCATATTTCATCTCTGAGTGCAATCAGCATATCTGATAGATTTTATTCATATCTTAATACTTTCTACACAGGCTATCACTGAATGAATTACAGCTATTTTGAATATAAAATCATTTCTATTAACTAGGAACAAGTGTTCAATGCACTGTCAGAAATATATCTACAGAATTCAAGATTTTCTAATACAGTGAAATCAGTGAATTCTCTACAGTCATAACTATACAAATTGCAAGATAGAGAATATAACAACTTTCTTCAGCAAATATTAAGACAGGTATATTTTAATTATGTATATTAAAGTATATATTAACTAATTTATATATAAAACTCATAGAAAACTAAATATATTGAAATATAAATAGATTATGTTGGAAATCTCTACATCACTGATCTGCCTTTTATCAGAAGTGTTTCTGAAAATTTAATCTTTTTTCACATCTTCTTCTGTACATCTTTCACCAGATATCTCTTTTTTACTGTCAGAGTATTCTGAATTATCTCAGCAAAGTCATCTCTGACAATTTGCTGATATTCAGAAATATCACTCATCAGATCTTAGAATGTCAGAATATTTTATCATTGTAATATAGCTGCAGCAGAATTTTCATTTATATCAGTATTATTAAATATTTTAACCTGGGTTGTAAGATTGATATATATCTCTATTTTTCAGAATCAGTTTCTAGTTTTTCAATCTGAAGTTTTCAATTTAATATCTTTAACTAATGAATATTTAACTTACATTTCATATATCATTGTTCTCACTCAGAGAATCAATCAAAGTCAATGATTTCTTACACTCAGTAAAAAACCAGAAAGAACTTTTCAGCAGTAAATGAATCACAGAAGTATTCAAAGATAATTAATTCTTCATAGCAGTTATATAATTTAATTATCACTGAACTTTCTCTGCTCTTTATCTTCTTCTATTGAATATGATTCTATATTAATAAATGATTAGCTAAGTTAGTCAAAAAAATTTTAATATCTCACTGAAAAGTTTCAAATTCTTCTAAGATATCTCACTGAAAAGTTGATATATTTACTAAAATCTAATACTACTTATCTTCATTTCTTTGAGAGTTCAGAACTTTCATGTTTTAATTGTATTCAGTATTATTATTCTGCTGAATAAAAAGATGTATAATGTTTTATTCTTTATTTTTATCATACTTACAACTGTTCAATTCAAATTATCTTTGTTAAAAGAAAGAAAATACATTTATTTTATCTTCAGACACAGACACTGCTCTGTCAGCTGAATTTCCTTCTTATACATTTCTACATCTGAATGCTGAGTTCAGTGACATCTTTTTAACAGACTGCTTGATATCAGTAATGAGTTTGACTTCTTCTCATCTGACTGGTATTCACTATTACTATCATTATATTTATTCTATGTTCAGATATATTAATATCAGATTTCTTTTGAAATCAGCAATTTATCTCATTAAATCTATCAGATGAGAGAGTTCAGAGAGATCTAGTAGAGCAGAATTCATGACAATATTCATTTTCAGAATCTTGATAGAACTCTGATAAATTTGTAATATGAATAGAAATATAGTAGTTTGATTCTTAATATTAAATTGATATAGATTGTCACTGATTACAGCTCTTATTAATATATCTCTTTTCAGTAATTCAATCTCATCTCTTTATTTTATCAAGACTGCTTATTCACTTCATTCATATCTTTTCAACTACACAACTTTTTTCTACAAATTATATCAGAAAGTAAAATATCATGTCTGTTTAATTAAAATCTGAAACACTATCTATTATCTGTCTCTAGACAAGAATCTGAGAATGATCAATACTCTTCTTTTCTGAAAACTGTAAATGAAGATTTCACTGATAGTGATTCAGATATTGATACTTCTGATGAAGAAGTATTACTATTTTCAGTAAGTTTATTACTTTTGATGTCTCTATCATTATAAAAACTAATATTCTCTAAAGACAGAGTCATATAATGAGAATGCTGCTGATAATATTAAGTATATTAAGTGGCTTTTGAAAGCAGCTGCTGAGAAGAATATTTCTGAAAATGATAATCAAGAGAATTCTGATAAGTTAGTTACTAATAATATTGAAATATCAGCTACTGATACAATTACTGTTACTATTACTGATCAATTTATTGATTCTGATTCAGCAATTGATATACTTTATAAATACAGTAACTTTGAAATAAATTCATTTATTCTGATAATGAAACTCTGAACTGAAGAGTCAGATATTTTCTGAAAAAACTATAAATCACTACTGTAAATTCTGCATTTATTGAAGAATATATCACTGATAAGTCTACTCTCTGAAGATCTATCAACTCTGAAAAAGCAATGCAGAGCATAATTTCTGATTTTATCAGTCAAGAAAACCTCAATTTTAATAGTGTTATTAATATAAATATCAACTCTGAGTTCTGCTCAGAAAAATCTCACTGAATTCTTTATAAGATTACTATACTTTTAAAATCTGATTCTCTTAATATCTGCTCTTCTCAAATCCCCAACTTTTCAGTGACAAATGTATATAGAAATGACAGAAATTGTTAATAATTTTACAGAGTTATAACAATCTCACAGTTGAAGAAGCTCTGTTAAATATTATTTCAGTAAATTCATCTGATATTTATCAATAAATAAACCTATTTTTTCTTCTGATTTTATCTGATATCAGTGTGAGAATCTTGAATACTACTGTAAATCAGAGTTGAATAATATATCTTATATTAAAAGAGTGTATTTTATCAGATATAATTATTAATATTCAGATATGAGGTCTTATATAATAGTTCTGAAAGTTTAAGAAGCTATTCACTATACTCTGCAGACTGCACAAAGATTATTATTCTTAAATTCATTATTTAGTCTCTTTGAAATAATTGCAATGAAGAATGAGATGAAATATATCTTAATTACTCAAGTTCTCAATCAACTTAATATTTATATAAATATAATATTTGAATTGAGTTCTGATCTGTCAGTATATAAGAGTTAAGATCAGTATTTTCTTCACTGAATCATGAGAATTAAAACTGAGATAATTAAAATATAATTATATTATAAATCTTTACTGATTCAGACTGAGTTGAAAATTGCAGTATATAAATAAGATCTTTTGAAAAGTATATTTTACTCTGATATACAAGTTATTCCTCTGTCATATTAATTATTTATTGATGAATTTAACTTATATCAGAATATATACTGAAGCTTGATAAGTTTTTATTTAATTTCTGCACTGAGTGCTGTTGAGCATTTAAAGTGAAATAATATTTTTATTCTAATCTTTGATTCTTATAATATCAATTTTTCTGATATAGTTACTGCATTGTCACATGACTTATCTACATTGAATTGTGAGAAGATTATAATGAATATTAATGAAAAAAAGATGAGAGTGATTACATCTTGTATTACATTTCTTAAAGATATATCACAGTAAAATAGTAATATAGAGATTAAAGAATTAATAGTAAGAAGATCATGCTGAAGCTGCTTTATTAATAATAAGAATTAACTGAATCTGAATTATAATCTATATAATAACAGCTGATTTCACTATTATATATAACATCTTCAGACTAAACTGAATGATCTATCAAATCTCATATATAGAGACTAAATATATTAAGAGTAAGAAATAATATCACAGACTGTATCTCTTTTTCAGATATATTCAAGTTTGAATTTAATCTCTTTTTTTTCATCTGATTTATATTATAGTGAGTTTACTGATATATCAGAGATTTTACACTTATTACTGATCAGTACTGTCTTATCACTGTATAATTAGCTAGAATACTTCTGAATATTATAGATATTCTCTTTTTCTCACAGTTGAAATTGTCTGCAGTCATTAATTACTCATCTTAAGAAGTATCAGCTTCAAGAACATACTTAAGCTTCAATCATTATATCTCTTATCTTGCAGTGTGAGCTTAAGAAGAAATGACTTAATTTAATGATTAAGCAGATCATTTCTGCAGCATTTTTAGCATCAAATCAATCATCTATTAATCTTATTATTCAGATATATACAGTCATTATAAGAAGTAATAGTCTATTAATATCTCAATCTCTGAGAGAAAATGATTCTGAAGTAACTTATCAAATCATACTTACAGTCTGTTAATAGCTATAATTTCTTATTGAAGCTGCAGCAAGAGCAGCAGTGATATTTAAATTATTCTAAGCTGATTCAGTTATTAGTTATCAGTCATTCTCTGCTTCAACAATGAGTACAGTTACTATACATATCAGTGATTATATTAAAAAAGCAAAGCTTATATGATATATAAAGAGTCAGTTAAATATATATATTAATTTACACTATATTAAGCTGATTAAAGAATACACTGTATCTAATAACTGTAATATTCTGACAGAGAAGAATAAGTATTAAGACTATAAGAATCTAGTACAGTGAATAAATTATTGAGATATAAAGAAGATACTACTCTTATAGAAGAGCTTTTATTATATCTTATAACTAGTATTAAGAGATTCTTTTAATAGATCTGACTTACATCTAATACAGAAGATTTAACAGCTATATACAGTTTATTTAACACTGTTCAATAATCTGCTGAGAATGAATAAAGAACTAGATAATAATAATAATTCATTAAACTACTCTATTAAGTTAGAGTTAATAAAAGATTATATTACTCTGAAGATTTTTAGTTATCTATTATTAAATAAGATATCAGAGAAAGTCAGTATATAATTTATAAATCTCTTAAAACTTGAACTTCTTCATCTCTTTCTTAATAAGCTGTGAGAATTCTATAATACTGATTAAAATAAGTTCTCAGTTTTGAAACTAGATCACTATCTGATTCTTTTCTATAATAAGTTAATATTCTCAGTTCAGTATATCTATTAATCAATCAGTTATTAACTTATTACTAACTTATAAATTAGAGATTGTATTCACTGAATCTCTCTTATAAAAGAGAATATCATTCAATATTAAGAGACAGAGCTTGATTAGATTACAATTATATTTATTTATAAAATGAGAGAAATTAAGTAAATTTTCTTTATACTTATTTCTTTATATTATGTCATACATGATTATCTACTGAATCTGCTAATTTTACAAGAGAATTCTGATAATTACACTATTATCAGACTATTAGTAATTTGAAAGACAGTATTGTATAACATTTTAATACAGAATAGTGATAAAAATAATGATTATTTAGTATATAAGTCTCAGATAACAAGATATTTGTATTATAATTAAGATATCTGATTTCTTTAAATAGAATAGATAGTTGATGAATAGCAGCTGTTGTACTGAGTAATAGATAACTAACTAGCTTAATAGTATTAATTTCACTGACAGAACAGTATACAGTGTCTTGTAGTATCTTAGTAGTATTCTGATGATGACATCTGTCAATTACATGATTACTGAGTAGTGTCATGATAATGTTAGAAAGTTCTGCACTGTCTCAATGCCATCTTGACATTTAATATTCAGCAACATGTCACTGAATATAATGATGGAACATGTGTTACGATCGGCGACACGTGACACAGGTGGAATGGTGGATCCACGGTGTAATCACCGTAAATTAACCCTACGTTCTTCCGGTAAGGTATAGTGGTCGGTCACGTGATCTACGGAGATCGCCACAGGCAATAGCCGCAGCGGCCGCAACGGCCAACAATATCTTTCTCTGTAAGAAGCATTTACTTCCGAAGCTAAATTCTGACTTAAGCAACTTTTGAATCACAATCAGCAGAGATGATTCCAGTCCCTTGCTTAGAGCAGTCAGTGTATTGTTTAGCGCACACCATATGATTCATATCCAAGAAGTAGGGATTCCTTTTGCTCTTAGCCTCTTACAGATAACGATACTATTTCCCCCATATATCATCCCATCGGCCTTCCTTCTCTTCAGCCCACATGTGGCTGTTGTTCGGGTATGGACCGTACCGTATCCATGGATCGTATGGCGAACCTCCAGCAAAGAAATAGAGCCGAAGCTATTCATCAACTGTGTTATTTAGCGGCTCCGGCTCCGTCTCCGTCTCCGCCCCCACACTTTCCAGTTTCTCCTGACTGAAATTGTCTCCGCATTTTCCCCCGGACAACGCAGAAACACATCAAATGATGGATCAACAGCAGCTGGACTTTGAAAAGCGGGAATTATTTTCAACCACCACATGAATAGTTACCTACTATTCAGCAGTTCACGCAGACTACCGAGTTGTGCACTTCTAAACCTGAACCTAATATCCCTATCTACACGCATATATAATAAACCTCGGAGCCAACGCAATTTCTTCCCTTACGCTCCCCCGATTAATAAATTAAATAGATAACTAAGGGCGCGTAATGGTCGACAACAAGTTAGACGCTGCGCCTACACAGTCCGGCGCGGGGGTAGATGCGATTAAGGCGGCAGATAACCCCAGCAGCGCACATGTTGAGATGAGCGCGATCCCGGATTCGCACGAGCCCACCCCACCTAATGCTGCTTCTGGGGCGATGGGTGGCAGCGAGCGCCCCGTATACAGGATCTATAAACGCCGTTTCTTCGGCCTGGCGCAGTTGGTATTGCTTAATACCGTTGTTAGTTGGGATGTATGTGAGAGTCATGGTCGCATGGAAAGAGACACATGAAAGGGAGATAGGACGAGAGAGAGAGATAGATAGAACGTTCGCTGACCTTATGATATCTCTATCACAGTGGTTAACCTTCTCCGCCGTTTCAAAAACTGCCTCAGAACATTTTCGCGTCTCAGAAGGCACGATCAACTGGATGAGCGTAGCCTTCCAACTGGCGTTTTGTATTTCGACCCCGTAAGAAAATCCCAAAATACGAATGACGCAGTTACTCGTCACTAACACTCTTCTTCCCTCCCCCAGCGCCGTCATCTGGACCCTCAATAAAGGAGGACCTAAGCTGTCTCTCACTGTCTCCGCCGTCCTCCTCTTATGCGGCAACTGGATTCGCTATGCCGGCGCTCGAGCAGGTAACAGCATCTTCGGCGTCGCGATGTTCGGACAGATTTTGATCGGCCTTGCGCAACCATTCTGCTTAAGCGCGCCCACACGCTATAGTGATCTATGGTTCACCGGCAAGGGGCGCACCAGTGCAACGGCCATTGCTACACTTGCGAACCCCTTTGGTGGTGCGCTTGGCCAGTTGATTGGGCCGATCCTAGCAACGAAGAGCTCTGAAATTCCGAACATGGTGCTCTATGTGTCTATCATTGTAAGTAGGGAGAAAAAACAATTGCTCCTCTCGTCATCTGGGATATAGGATCCGGGAAAAATTAGCGTCAGCAATGCAATACCCGGATTTTGGCCAAGTAGTTGGGGGTCAGAAGTGGAATAAAAGAGCCGCGATGCAGTCAATCTAAGAAGGGTGGCATAAACGGTTACGCTAATTGTGTCAGGATTCGACCCAAATCATCCGATATAAGATGTTAGCAAGACCACGAAAGGAGAGAGAAAGAAAAAGCTAACAGAAATTCTGATGAATAGTCCACCGTCGTCTGCGTCCCATCCTTCTTCATCCCCTCCGCCCCACCAACCCCACCAACCGCCTCCGCAGCCATCGAGCGAATCCCCCTCACCAAGTCTCCGTTAAAACTAATCCGCACCCTTGAATTCTGGCTCATCTTCCTCCCATTCAGCGTCTACGTCGGCCTCTTCAACAGCATCTCCTCCCTCCTCAACCAGATCCTTGAACCCCACGGCTTCAGCGAGACAGATGCCGGTATCACCGGCGCCTTGCTCATCGTCGTCGGCCTCGTCGCCGCCGCCATCATCTCCCCCATCACAGACCGCTACAAGAGCTACCTGCTGCTGACCAAAGTCCTCGTCCCCATCATAGCCGTCTGCTACATCGGCTTCGTCTTCGCGCCGCGCGCAAGCAACGTCGCGGGACCCTATGTCGTCGCCGCCCTGCTGGGCGCGTCCAGCTTCGCCGTTCTCCCCGTCATCCTCGAGTATATGGTTGAAATCACCTACCCGATGTCGCCAGAGGTGACCAGTTCGGTCTGCTGGATGGGCGGGCAGTTGCTAGGCGCCTCGTTTATTCTTATTGAGAATGCGTTGAAGGAAGGGGCGGATGCGCAGCCGCCAAGGAATATGACGCGTGCGTTGATTTTTCAGGCTGTGCTTGCGTCAGTGGTTGTGCCGGTGCCGCTCTGCTTGGGGCTGTTTGGGCGGAATCCCAGGAGTCGGAGGCTTGAGGCGGAGATTGCGGCGGAATCGGCGGAATCGGCGGAATCGGCGGAATCGGCGGAATCGGCGGAATCGGCGGAATCGGCGGAATTGGAGGCACAGACGCGCGGGGGCAATGAATGCGATAGTGATTATGGGAGTAGGAAGGGCAGGGCCCGCCGTGGGATGTGATGAGCCTTTTGATATATATGTTGATGTTTTATATACGAGAGTTTGTGATGTGCTTTATATATGGGGTTATGTTTTCTTATCGACTCTTTTTCTCTCTTTTTCTCTACTTTTGTTTCGCTGCAATCCTACTGATACTCATCGGGGCTCCTTGGTGATCCTGGAGGATTTTCATTTCTCTACCTTGTAAGTTTTTTATATCTTGGCCTTCGATGCTCTCCCCCCCAAGCTTTTCTCTAGGCAATATAACGGTGCAAAGTTTTACGTTGTGTACATCTGCATGTACATACATGTGTCAGTTGTTTTACCTTTTGAAGTGTTTAGTTTTTTAATATCCAGCGGAGATTTTTGCATTTATTATATTACCAAAGCACGAAATTATGCCACAAATATCGGTATATGAGTGCGTCCATGGCTATAAAAACGAAGACCGTCCAACCATTTTCTTGTCCTCAACCCGAAAAAGAATTAATTAGGAACCCGTGAAAACGGCACATTGGAATAAAGGAAGTTAGATAGATACGATATATGAATCTAGATGGGATAATAGGAAGGGGTGAGGACAATGACGTTTATCTAAAGTAGGTCTGTACAGATTAAAGGGAAAACAAGGGGGGCGTGGGGGATAATGATACATGAATTTTTTTTCTTCAATGCGGGCCGATTCATGATTTTTTTGGGGGGAGGGTGGGTGGTACAGTATGTTGTATGTATATGACGGGGGGATATCAAGCAATAACTAGAAAAAGTAAAAAAAAATGGTCACTCAGATCCTTTTTTCACTTCCCCCGTTGCTTGAGTTCTTCCTTCCTCCGCCCAAGTCTCTCGTCTCTCGTTTATTTATTTACTTTATTAATTTTATTTTAAATGGTGATGATCCTCCGAAACCCAAGCCTACACCGCAAGCGGGTTTTGTCCGAAATTCCCGTTTCCTCTCCATATCAATTTTTGACTGTCCACTAGGATAACTGGTCTAGGGGGGTGGTTTTAAATGTTGGAAGGTGACGCGGTATCTGATCAGTAACGGTAGGGCTTCCGGATGGTGAAGGTGGGGTGGGGGTGCTTATTTGAGAGCTCGGAAGAGCTTAGGGGCAGCGCATTTGGTTGCGCAGTGTTGGAGATGGAAGACTAGATGAGGGATTTTAGAAAATTAACCAATTAGCAACTTAAGTAAAAGACATATAGTCGACTGTCAATGGATTTCAGGGACGTTGGCCGTGAATTCGTTTCATTTTCTCTCGCGATGGACCCATTGATTTTGAAAATCGGGGAGGGGAGAGAATATTTGAATCCGAATCATGCGGTGTACGTGTCGCAAAAGAATGCCGAGAGCCGCCGGTAATACGCCCATGAAGACATGATAAGAGAATATAAACTTACACTCCTCAACGCAGTCCTCGTGGGGACCCTTGAAATCGGGATCTTCGCTGTTGCGGGTGACTCGCTCGACGCACTCATCAAAGTGGTGCTTTGCAGGCGCGCATTTGGCAGAGTTGGCGCATTCTATCAATTGAAGCAAAAAGAAAGCGAGATCAGTTAGTTAACTTCGTGTAGCCTTTATACGTAGTTTTGGATCACTGTTTGCATTGTCCCGAGCCCGGTTGACGAAAGGTAGAGCTTGTTGATGAATGCTAGGGGTATTTCCAGGTGGTGCTTCTTTGACAGATTACCCCATTCCGCCCCATGACTCTCTCTGCAAGGTGCATTGGGAAACCAATCCCAATGGGCCGGGAATAAAGCTAGGTCACCGTCTCTTTCTGTCTCTCTCCCTGATTTTAAGAATTCCACCTCGCTACCTATATATCCCACTCATCATGAAGGGAGAGAAAAAACAAGAAAACCCAAACGGGAAACCACTCACCCTCCTCCAACTTAGGTTTAATATCTTCAACTTCCTCCTCTTCTTCTTCCTCCTCGGGCTCCTCTTCCTTCTCCTCCGGTGCGTCCGCAGCAGTCGGCTCCTCGGCTGGTGGTGCTTCGGCCTGCGCCTCCGCGAAGGGCAGCGAGCTAATTAGATCGGTGAACATGTCGACGAAACCCATCTTTGGGTAGGACGGAGGGCAATTGAGAGCAACTGGGGGAAGGCTGGTGGGGGAGGGGCGTGGTGTTGGTTGGTTTTTCGAAGCCAGATGCTGTTGATGTTCGAATGCCTTTCTTTTGCTTTTTCGAGTTCGAGGTTTGCAAGGGAAAAGTCGGGCTGGACTGTGGTTGGTCAGTCAGAATTATGGGACACGTGATTGGCTGTCCCTGAGATTTAAGGAGTAAGTAAATATCAATGGATATACAATCTAGTGCAGAAACCAATTTAATATCTGAATATGATAACTGTTTCTTAATATTCAAGCCAGTTTGATAACTTTCGCCTCCATCAGCCTTCGTATAAACTCATAGAAATAGCACATAAGCTCATATAATCATTAACTATGTATATATATACATACACCATAGAAGATACTAGCAGAAAGAAATACATATCAACTTGCATGCACGAGTAACATCTTTTCTAATGACGATTTTGAAGTCTTCCACCATCGGCATGGTGTCAGACTGTGTAACAACAACATATAGAGAAGTATGTTCCCTCCGCATCGTCATCACTGATATTTCCGCAGACGTGCTTCAAGCGCGTTCGCAACGCTCTGTTGCTGAACTTCCTCGTACCCCGGAGGAGGCTCTGTAGGGCTAGAGTCAGGAGGATTATGCTCCCCCGTACGACTGTTATCGTCTTGGTTGGAAACGCGATGGTTATTCCGTTCATGCAGATCCGGAGATAGAAATGCTGGCAATGACGTGGTATCTGTCGGCTCAGTAGGATGGCCGGGTCCTTCGTATGCGGGGAGCTCATCAAGATGGATCGCTGAGAAATCCACAGAGCCTGTCGCCCTGCCGCTTTCTTGCGATTGCTCGAGAGCCTGTTGCAGACGTTCTTTGATTCGTTCGAAGGCTGAGTGGAAATCAAATGCTCCGCCATCCTTGAAAGTTAACTTTAGCTGGAGGGAAACATGGGAAGGGGGAATGCCGCCGCCAGGAACGGGTTTGACCTGTGCGGTCCAGAGGTTGGGACCAAAAAAGGGAGCTGAAACATGCGTGTCTTGCAGATTTAGGAGAGGGGCGGAGAATGATTGGAATTGTGGAGTGGAATGTGCCGGGAGGTAGACAACCTGAAAGCTTCTGTTAGGAACTATCGTCATGTACGAACAGCGCGAAGGGAAACACACTCGTTGGTTCGTAAGATAGACACGTCCAGTGCTACTCTGAACTGACAGAGGTTCATTTCCCGGTTTGGGATTCCCGCTTTGAAGCATAAGACTTGTTCGAGGCGGGGAAGTATACATGATGCGTTCATTAGGAAGGCGGACGAATGCCTCCGTTTCATGGAGCATGACCCAACTACTTCGCCGGAGCCTACTTAGTATTGTCTTTTTCATTGAAAATTTCGAGGACATGGTCTATTCTCTTAGAAATATGGGATGTGATATTGGGTATCACATTATAAAGGGAAAATAAAGGAATGTATAGTAGATGAGGGCATAAATGGAAAGAGAGGAAAGGGGGAGAGCAACAGAAATTGCAGATCGAACAGAGCAAAGCATGAAATGGTATATGTAGCCACCTAAAAAGAAGGAAAATACATACTTTATAGACATTTTCCTAAAGAATAGCCTGTCCTGGGAAGGTTTTGAAAACTACCTGATAACCAGTGTTTTGTGGCTTGAGGTTGGCGATGAGAGCTGTGGGACACCTTACTCTCCCTTGTTCACAGTAATATTAGCAAACTCTAGCTAGGGTTAAGGAAAACTACCAATCGTCAGCAAGACTGAACCAGGCCAGAACGAAAAGTTAACGGGCGGGGGTTAGTATCAAGCAAGAATTTCGTTAATAATTGACTGCTGGGTGACGGGTATACTTCGTTTCCTAGCGAGGGGTAGTAACTAGTGGCATGACTTGCGGCAAAAATGCTGATTGCGAGTAATATGCACGAATCATAGCTGCTGGAAGCTTCGGGGAAAGGAAGGGAGATTAGTTATACCTTTTGCAACTCCCTGCAGGCCTCAAAGTAACGTCTGTATGAAACTAGTTGCGCAAGTGGAACTGAGTCCGTGCTGCTCTCTGCAAGAAGCGAGTGGCTAGATATCGCGCAACTTTCGTTTAAAGAGGTCTGGCCAGGGGAAAACGGCGCGTAGATCGCTAACTAGAGCAGCGAGCGGAGAGATAAAGCGCAACAAGTGGCCAGATCAATATCGGTCGCTTGGGGCGTTCCCAGTGGTTCAGCCTAATTCTTGCTTAGGTACTCCGTAGACGGAGTGTGGGGAGGGAGGGAGGGAGCCAGCGAGTCTATCTGAAGGATTTGAAGTCGGCGAAGGGATGTCAAAATAAACGCAGAGAGTCGATGGAATCTTTCGTGCTGCGTTGAAAGGACCTCTGATAGATAGTTACGCAATCTGTGGGGTTGAGTGTTGAGTTGTGGGTTGGAGAGGTGGATTTATTCAAGAGGAAGAAGTCCTGGTGGATGTTTTATCATACATAAATAACTAAGAAACACATTATTGTTTCGGATTCTCCTCCCCCGCCTGATCTTCATTACGGAGTACATTTTTATATTTGCTGCCTCTACACAGAGTTAAAGCATTGAATTACACTATCTTTATTCATATCAACTTAGGGAAAAAAAAAAAGAAAGAAAGAAAGAAAGAAAATGAAATGAAAAGAAAAGAAAATGAAATGAAATGAAAACGAGCATTTTCGAGGAGGATTGTACCGTGCGAACCCTACCTAGTTGGTCTATAGATATCTCTCTACCTTCAGCAAACTGGTACTCTATTGATGAGTACTCCTTTGATTACCGGGGAAAATGCCATGGAAAGTCGTCGGCAACGAGAAAATACAGACTGCATCTGCCCTACGATGCTCGTTGAAACATCCCAAAGCTATAAATTATGACATTCCCCGGACCCCGCCCTCCCTTGGACAGACACAGGTCAGCAAACTCAAACTCAACAGTTCGCAGAGGCTACCGGAGACCATTCATACTGCGGTTAGACTAGGATAGATAGTTAGAGGGTTGAACAGCGTCTCCCTACAAGTGACGACATATGATGTATCTGATTTTGAATCTGGGGTTGGAATAATATCGTTGGTCGAAGCACTGGAAATTCAACACATGACAACATGAGCGGGTGAAAAATAAAATTAAATTAAATTAAAATAATAAAAATAAAATAAAATAAAAAAATTCTGACGCCTAAGAAGCTCCTGTGATCATTCTGTGTAGCCTAGGGATGCTTGGGACAATATTAATAAGTGATATCCTTAATGTCATCTTGGATATCCGCACGGAGTAGTGGAAATAATAATAAATGATGATGCCTACGCTGTAACTACACAACGCCCAATAATAATATAATATTAATAATAATAACGGTGTTCCACCGCGCTGGAGGCGTTGCGTGCATGCTGTTTTTCAGCCTCATCACTCCGTCCTGCGCCGGCGTTTGTTCCGGAGAACGTCTTGCTGCGACGATCTGTTGCGCTACTTGTAGTGATGCATTAATGTTATTGTATGTAACCTCTCAGCGAGCCATTGCCCGCAGAAGTCGGCGCAATGAGCTCATTGCTCAGCCCCCATTCTCTCACACTCACCCCGTTCTTCGTTGCCTGTCAGGTAGTGCCATCGGAGCCTATCGTTGTCTTACCCGGGACCGTTGAATGTATACTACATTACCGTTGGCTTAAAAATGAGGCAATGATTGATTGAAATATCCCCCTTATGGCCAAAATTTTTGATGGTTTCTTTGTTTTTTTATTTTTTATTTTTTATTATTTTTTTCTCCATGGCTCACAGCCTTCTTTAGCTGCCGATAGTCTGTAGGGGCTGAGGCTAACGACGCACACCCCACAGGCTCCAGGGAGAGGAAGGAGCTCGGGATGCCGTAACGGTCCAGACAGAAACAAGCCATTCTTTTTAAAACTCCGGGTTTCCAGTTGAGAAAGATTATTTGACATTGCGGGGGATGCGGTGATTCCGAGAGAGCGCCCTGGCATACAGAGAGAACCGTAGGTGTGGAGCCATCCCCGACGTGTTCTGTTGAAGAAAAAGCTAACGATGTCGCGGCAGCTTTTCCATTGCTTTTTTGATCATGGATAATTCCAACTCGCGTCCAGAAACTCCAGCGCCTCGAAGAAATACGCAACAAGAGGCAACTGCTGGAACACCATTCTTTGGGAGAGCTTTTGGATATCCTGCCAGTTCTTCTGCTACTACTCCCAGCCTACCAGGATCAGAAGAAGCCGCAGAAACACCAATCCAGGCTGCTAGAATGCCAACGAGCCTGGAGGTGCGACCTAGTCGAGCTTCTAGCATCGTATCGACGATAACAAATTCTACGATCGCTACACTACAAGACGATGACCGAAGCACTCGAAGTGCTCGAAGCATTGATCTCATGTTAGGCGGAAGGTTATTCCATATCAACCGAGATGGTTCGAAGATATCTAGCTCATCAGATAACGACCTCCCTCCGTATTCTCCTTCCCTGCCAACCTATGCGCAGTCCAGCAACCATGTTGATACCAGTTTTCGCAATGGCCCACAGCCACCTGAGCTAGTTACTTCAACCGCACGTACACCTTCGCCGCTGGCTGCCCCTGCACCAAAAAGCCGCATACATATTCCGTTTTGGACGGACAGATCCCGCCATCGCCGACTATCATCAAGCACATCACAGAGCAATACTAAACCTGCTCTGGGGCGACTAAATTCAAACTCGATGTTTGACTTATCAAAGCTACCAAGCGCAAGCCTGTCCAACCCAGAGTCACAACCAATGGAGGAAAATGGCGTTTATCGCAGCCCATGGGTTATTACTGGGCCGGAAAGGATATCAATCGTTTCTAAAGGGCGTTCTGCCTCTCAAGGCAACATACCGGAAAGTGTACATTCTTGGTATGAGAATAAAGACCCAAAACACCATCTTAGGCGCAGGAACGGCATTCGACTTCCCAGACTCTTCACCAGTTTAACAAATATTAAGTTTGGCAGTACATCCGACCAAGACCAAGACCCCCCTTCACCTAGCAGCCGGATTATACAATCGGCAGGCCCCAGCTGCGGTACATACCAGAGAAAATACGCACAGTCACCCGTATTCACCGCACGTAGCTCCACCAGTGGATATCCCACTCCTTCATACTCAACCCACCTGTCCCCAGAAGACGGGGCCCCTCAACGCAGGCCCTCGCTCCCCAATATCCCCATGCTCTCTCTAGCCGTCCCCCAGAGCCCGGTAAAAGTCGAAGAGGGCCATGTAGATATTGAACCCCCGCCCCCCATGGAAGACGAGAATGACGTTAGTATCCACTACACGCGGCTAATCCGCAGCATTGACCGCGACCACCGCAAGGCGCTGCATGCGCGCGACAAGGAGCTGGCTGGGATGCGCGAGCGCCTGAACGAGATCGACCAGGTCTATCGGCAGGAACTGAAGTCGCGAGACTTTACCATTGACGATATGCGGAAACGGCTAGAGAATCTGCAGGAGCAGATGAATGGCAGTATCGAGCGGGCGAAGAATGAGGTTGAGGACATGTGGGAGGCGCGGTGGAAGCATCGTGATCGCCATCTTATGGAGCGCATGCGTAGGATTGAGCTTGAAACTCAGATACAGGTTGAGAAGGCTGTGGCGGAGCACGATCAAGAGTGGGTGGCTGAGTGGGAGAAGAGGAATAATGAGCTTTTGGAGAGGTTGAGGGTTGCTGAGGGTGGCGCTGCTGGTCAGCGTACCTGAGCGGGGTTTTCTTCAATGATCATTAATACTTATACTATATACTTTAGGATCACGGTGGTGGTGTGGAGGTATGCTAGGTGTATAATTGTATAACCGGTGTGCACCGGGGTACACTAATAATAATGATAATAATGATAATAATAATATACTACTAATATTACAACCACCCCGCACCCGTACTAGGTAGATCTCCCACCCGAGGGGAAAATAGAGGGTTTAGAGAGAATCATATTCATCAAGCCACATAGCATGTGTGGAACTGTCAGCTAGGATATTCATGATAGTTATAGTGTTCATCAAATTCTTACTTTTCGATTTTCACAAAAATTTCAACATGTGTATAGAGTATAGAGTAGTTGAATGTGTCAGGTCACGTAATCTGGCTTACTAATCCTTCCACCATATAACTGTAGGATAGTTGAAGGTTGTATTGATAGATCTATCTACAAGAACATATATAGTGGTGGGTCACGTGATATAGTGGGATCGCTAACCGCAACAGCTGTAACAGCCAACACCCCCCCTCAAGATAACAAGAATCACATATAAAAACACTCAAACCATCAAGAAAGTCTGTCAAAATCAAATACAAATATAAAATTAAACATTCTCAACTTTTATATCTGTAAGACCTAGTAAAATCATGAATTGTGTAAATATCACAGTGTTTAGAGATTTAGTAAGTTCATTCACTACTATTTAAGTGATGAGAATGTATTCTAAATCAATAATTCTCTGATTCAACTGCCAATATGAAAAATGAAAATGTATGTTAATATGCTTACTTCAGACTGTAATGACTGCCATCTTTATAAGATCTATAATACTCTTATTATCAGTGAGAATCTGTATTAAAGATGTAGTTAGACTAATCACTGAGACTATGAATTTTACATTTAATTTCATTTGATCTGATTTCATACATTTCTTAATATGAATTCTGCTGAGACTAGTCATTAAAAAAACATGTAAAGTGACTATATATCAGATCTTAAAATGAAATCATAACTTGAAAAAAATGAGAAAGTAATTTTATTTAATCTCATTTAATCTCATTCTTGATATAAAGTTACTATTTTTAGACATTTTAAGGTTTTTTTTAGACTATTTTTAATTTTTTAAAAAGTAACACTTTTTGATAACACTTAAATAAGATTTAAAGTTATTTAAAGTAATAAAAATAATTTAAATTAAGAAGTGAAAATTATGATCTCATTTGAAAAATATAATAAGAGTAGACAGTAAGTCTTACTGAGACAGTATAAGACTACTATTTAATGTTAAAACCATGTAATGAGATCAGTTAAATTAATAATGAAACTATCAAAAAATCCGATTCTGATCTTAGATATAATCACATAATCAGTCTAGATATAGTAATAAAGCCAACTTAATCATGAGGTTCTGAATTTATGTTACTTCGCGGACTGCCTCACTAAGAGTCATATATTCAGTCTTATTGAAACTTAGAGATATACAAGATTGCTTTACTAAATGCCATGAAATTAAGCCACCTGCAAGCTTAAAAACATAGCTGAATATTGATTTTCTATCATCATTCAAGAGACCAGCTCAATCAAAATCCGAGTAGCTGAAGAGTAGGTAGAAATCATCAGAGAAATTAAGAGAAATGAATCTCTCATGCAGACTGTGTCTGTAGAAAATGCTCAGATTCAGAATCTCTTTCAAATAACATATAACATGTAATAGAGTCTTTCAATATTAAGATGTTAAATCAATGTTCTGTTAAGTGAGTAATGAGACAGCATGAGTGATATCAGAACATGTTTTAACTGCAAGATATTACAAGCAACTCACATCATGTTAATATCACTGAATTGTGAAATCAGTCTCTTTCTCAGATATAGAGAAATCATCAATGTGAAATTCATTCTTCATTGATATTTTGACAACAGCTGTATTATCAAGATAGAAATCTTTAATAAGATATTTAATATATTAATGATATATTAAACTAATTTCTTTATCAGAATAATTGACATTCATACTCAAATACTTAGTTAACTGATGTAGATTCTTGACTTTCAATTTCTCACTGAGCATACTCACTAGTCAATCAGCATTCCCAGGAACTTCAAATATGATGTTAAGATTGTCAATGTAGATTATTATATAGAGGTGATATCTGAATGTATAATATCAGAGTACTGAATCATAGATGCTGACTGCAAATTCAAGATTACTCAGCAGAGCTATTCAGTAATCATATCAGATCTTCACTGCAGAGTTCAGGCTGTATAGACTACTCTTAACTGTATAGACAAGCATTTTCAGTGAATCTGTCTCAAATCTGATGAATTGTCTCATATAGACCTTCTTAGTGAGGTGCTTATAAAGATATATCATCACTATATTCACTTGACAGAGTGTTCAACTATATAGTACTGTGATTATAAAAAGAATATGATTAACAGTATCAGTGATGACAGAAGTGTATATCTCTTCTCTAGAACTCTTCTTAAGTCAGTTATTATAAATCACTTAACATGATTTTCTAAGAATATCATCAGAATCAGTATTCAGGTTCACAGGCCTATCTTTCTCAAGAAATACTCAACAGCTCAGAGCAATCAGTTCATCTCTCAAAAACTTTCAAATCTTCAGAAATAGAAGGCTTATTCTCAAAGTGTCAAATCAGAACATCTTGTAAAGAAACAAGCTAAACTCAAATGTCATTTTCAGAATCAGAAATGAAACTAATCAGCAGTTCTTTTCTCAGTTGATGACTGATATTGAAGTTCAAAAACCAGTTATAGCTTCAATTGAGTCATTCTTCTTTGAAAACTTCATTATTCTGACTACAATGCCTGAATTCAGTGCAGAATTCCTTATTCAGAATGAGAATCTCTGAAAATCAGCAGTAGAATCTTTATTAAACACAATAATTCTATCTGAGAGAGATGAAAAGTGAAACAAATTCATTCTTCATAATATTTCAGTTGAAATTTTTGACTGTGAAGAAGGAATACTACTTCTTAAAAATGAATTAGAAGAATACAACTCTATTTAACTGAGAAAAGAGTCTGTATGACTAAATTCAATTGAGTTCAGATAAAGCAGAAGAAATGCCTCTGTTCTAGTATACACAAAGACACTTGAACAGTCAAAGATCTCTGAAGTAAGAGTAACAGATTTGAAAATAAGAGTTCATGAATACAAAGACTCAAGAATGAATCTCAAAGCTCAAACACAGTGTTTAAACTATCAAAGATATGAATACTTTGCAATCTCTATTTTAGAGACTCAAAATGTACATTCTGTGTCAGAGATCACAAAACTAGTGCGCATAAATGTGAAATATGCTTAAAAAGAGATGAAATATGTTAACACACTCTGCTTAAATGCTCTAATTGCAAAGAAAAACATGCATCTAGCTCAAAAGAATGTATATTTACTTCAAGAACTCAAAAGAACTAAAGAAAAGATGAAGCTCAAAGCAAATCTAGAACTGAAAAGAATAGTCAAGTCAGTAAACTCACAACTGCAAGCTTGAAAAGAAGAAACTCTTAACTATCTAAATCTTCAAACTTCAATTCTCCAGCTAAATGTAAACAGAATTTGAATTCTCAAACTTCTGTTAAGATTAGAGAATTGAGAAATGACTCTGATAATAAACTAAATATAATACAAGCAGTTGAGATTTCTACTTTTTAGAATAGTTATAATCTACTATCTAATAATAGTGATTAGATTCTACTCTACTCTCTTTTAGTATAAATATACAACAAAAACAACAAAAAAAGTTTAAAAACTCTTTAAAAATAACATTTATTTAAAACAATGTGAATAGAAACTCAAATTGCATTTATTCTTATCTTCAAATTATATTTAAATAAAAAGTTGATTTTATACTGCTTCAGAAGCTGAATTTTGATACTGAGTAAAAATATATCATTTCTTATTTAAGCTACTACTGCTTTCTATCTTAAAAGTCTGAGATAAAGTTAAGAGTAGTGATCTATGAAAGAAAGAGATCAAGATATTAATTTAATCTAAGATTTGATATTATGTCTGACTCTGATATTCTGATGAGTGATATTATAGATAAAGAGAATGAGTTTGATACTATACAGCTTATAAATATCTATAATGAAAAGTCATTGAAGAAAAATAACAATATTTAAATAATTAATAGAGAGTTTCTGAATATAACTTGATTAAGAAACTCTATAATTGTAGAAGATTTCAATGCACATCATCTCTGATGAAATTCAGAATGCAAGAGAGCAGTAAGAGTTAATAATCTGATTGAATAAATCTTTGAGCATTCAATAGATTTAGTTAACAAGTCTGATTAACAAACATTCTTTAGAAAAGACATGAAACAGAAATCTATTATAGATCTAATCTTCATATCACAAAATCTAATGAAAAAAAGACTTGTAAACTGATTTATTAATTCAAATGAGACATCAGCATCAGATCATGAGATTATTCAATTTAATATTGAACTGAGTGAAGAATAAATGAGTGAAAATCCTCTTCTCTCTAATCAGTTTAACTTTGAAAAAGCTGATTGAAAGGCAGTTGAAGAAAGCATAAAACTGTTAAAATCTGAAAGACAGAGTGAGCTATATTGAAATTCTGATCAAGATATCTCAAATGAAATGCTTGAGAATAGAGTGAAGCTCATTACATCTATTATTCTAACAAGTGTTAAAGATAATATTTCAAAGAGAAAGTCTTCTGAGTATTCAAAATCTTGATGAAATAAGAATATCATATTTAAAAGAAAACAATTAGCTACTGCTAGAAGAGATTGAAAGAATAATATAATTTCTGAGAAAAAGTTCAAAGCTGTCAGAAATGAATATTTTTCAGATATTAAAAGAGCTAAAATAGACAGCTGGAATAAATTTCTTGAAGAAGTATAATAAAAGGAAGTTTTTAAAGCTTTTAACTATACTAAAACAAGAAGTGTAGGAAAACTTCCAGTTTTAGAATATGAGTTTCAGAATGAATCATATACAGCAAACTCTTTTAAGAAAAAATGTCAAGCTTTTATAAGAACTCTTTTTCAAAACTCATCAGATTCAGATTCAGAGAAAGAGAATATATCACTTCTCAACTATATTGATGAAAATAACTGAGAATGACCTGATCTTATATAAGATGAATTAAAGTCAGCTATCTTCTGAAGTTCAGTTAACACTGCTGCAGAGCCTGATTCAATTAATCAGTTGATTATTTAAAATATA